ATGACACATAACTGACCAATGTAATAAATGTGTGTTCCTTTAAAATTATACATTAGAATTTCGAGTCTTGTTTGTTTTCACATGTGCCTTATTCAATACTTGGAATAAGAGAGATGATGTTCTTTCTTCTTTCTTCTCCCATTCACTGCCCCAAAAATCATTTTAATAGCTATTATTGCAGAGGCATGGTGGAGTTTAGTATGGATAGCAACTCAGATTGAGGAATCAGTCCTGAGTTTGAATTCCAGTCAAGTTCATTACATTCACTTTAAGAAAGGTATGAATCCATCACTTACCCCACCCAGTTATGGGTAAATAGCAGGACAGACTGGGTCCTATAACCTTGGGTGGAAGCCAATCTTGGAAAAGAACAAAACTGAATTCGAAACCTCCAACTATAGGTAAATAGTAGGGCAAACTGGGCTCTTCAGCCTTGAGTGGCAACCAGTCTATGTGAACAACTGTGAATTTAAAAACTTAATTTTAAAATATCAACAATGTTATCTGGCAATACCTGGATCCACCACAGTATAAAAGCTTATTCTTGATAAAAAATAATTAATTATAAGAAAAAAGAAATCATGATTTTAAAATATCAGCAAGGTTATCTTACAATGCCTGGATATAGGACAACATAAAATTTGTTATCTCAAACATTCATAACCTTTTTCCTTTCTAAAAGATAAGAATTTTAAAATATCAGCACAATTATCCTGAAATTACTGGATTGACTAAAATATATTTATCTTGGTAAAGATTAATAATTATCATAATATCAATTTTCAGTTGGACTAATGTCCTTATCTTTGTCATTATTATCACAATGTTTCAGGCTTCTTCAGGTGTCTGTTAATTGGGATAATAATTACTATAAATCTCTGATTTTTTTCAGTGCCATATGAAACTAGTTCTGCTAATTTATTACAAACAGGCACTTAAAGGTCAGAGGTCATAACACTTGAAATGCTCTAATGATATATATAAAAAAAAAGATAAGGACATTAGTCAAACTACAAATAAAAAAAATAACTCAACCCAGAAATTTAGCCAAAAATTATCATATAAGAAACATAAATTTTAAAATATCATTAAGGTTAATTGACAACAATTTTTTTTTTATTTCATTTTGTGTTTAAGCTGTATTTAAATAAATGACAATATTAAAAGATAGCCAAGAGATATGTTTATCTGTCATATTTTAATAGTCCAATGCAAAATTTTTATTTTCCTCTTTTGCTTGTAAATGTCTCTGGATAAAATGCAATATCATTTTTTTCTCAAAATAGAGAAAGATGTATTTATATGGATAATAAATATATAAAACAAACTTCTATTCTGACATTTCACTGAAGTAGACATGACAAAATAGAAGTTATCCAAATTCTCTTAGATATTAACTATTCAATTGGACTCTCATGCAAACTTTACTCCCTCCTCTCTCTCTCTCAAACATTATAGTGATTTTCTAAGCGCTGCTTAGATGTGGCACAAGGCTTAAAGTATGGAGCACCCAGTGAAAATTGAACTCACTACTCAGTCATAATTGTTCTAGTGAGACAAGCTTCCTAGCCATTACACCATGTCGAGGTGCCCATCTCAAACACTATATATGTGTCTCTATATATATATATAAGTGAATGCTGATGCCAACACTGAGTAGCAACAGTCTTTTTCATGCTTGAATTCAGGCCTGAAGATTGTGTTCAAGCATGGAACAGACTGTCGCCACTCAGTATTGAATTCATTGTCCACTTTTATATTTACACATGCACTATCCTTGTTATAGAGCACTTTTACTCATCAATATAAAAATCACAAAAATGAGTAGACAATTACTGATACCTCCTGATGAGTGGACCAAGACCAAATGATTATAAAAAACGTTTGTGTATGAAACTCTGGAGTTGGCATGCTGAATATAACATTAATCAGCTAAGGGACAAATTTTATATTTGTATTAATCCTATATATATATATATATATATATATATATATATATATATATATATATATATATATATATATATATATATATTACACATTTCATTAAATAATATAGACAAATGTGTATGAATGAAAAGATGCTGCCTAAATATATATATATATATATATATATATATATATATATATATATATATATATATATATATATATAATTTATCAAAGAAGCCCAATATATTTTTGGCACTAGATTATTGTATTTACTATCTGAGCAAAATCTTTTAATTCAGAACTTATAGTAAATATCTACAGCATGAGAATTTTAACATATGACTGTATTTAATAACATATAAGCACCCCCAACCAACTCCCAAACGAGTTTAACTATTTATTATTGGGAAGTTTTTACAATAGTCTTAGTATGAATGCAAGAGAGATAACTCTAGCACAGTAGAAAGTTATAGACATTAGACAAAAACTCCACTTGGTTTTATTATAGTATTAAAATGTCATCAATGTAATGAGTTTGCGTGAATGAATGGCAGAGTGGTTACAAAGAGATATGATAAAAAGTGAAATGTTACTAAGAGCAACAGGAAACAGGAAGTAGTGGAGAGCTATAATCGCCCATGTCCTGAAAGAACCCTGCACATACAAAAGGAGTTAAGCATGGTACAAATACTGGTGATGGCTTATGATGTTTGAGTCAAACATTAACAAACATATTTCAATATTACATATAAGACATTAAAAAAATATTTGTGGAGAATTTATTTTGAAAAAAAAATTTTGTAGGTAGTTTTTTTGTATCTATTTCTTGGGAAAAATGTTTTGGAGTTATTTCTTTTGAAAAAAATGTCTTTTGTAGTTATTTCTTGGGGAAAAATGTTTTTGAGAAAATTCACCATTTTTTGAATGAAAACCTTTGTGTGTCTATAAAGACAATAAAAATACAGTTTGTAGTTGATGTGGAAACTATACAGAAAATTATTCATGAAGATCTCAACATGTGCAAAATTTGTTCCCAGGGTACTCAGTGATGAACAGACGGAAAGATGCATTGGGTGACAGCATGGAGATGGTTGATGGGCATCAAAACTGTCTCTCACTCTCCCTACAGTCCAGATCTGTGACTTGGTTGTTCCTCAAGCTGAAGAAGAACCTTAAGGGCAGTCATTTTGAAGATGAAGGAGGCTGTGACAAGGGTCTTGGAGACCTTTACTTTGGATGTCTTCCATGGAATCTTTACAAAGTGGGTGGAGTGCTGCAACAAATACATTGAAGTCAGAAGATCCAACTTTGGATGAGATTAGAGTTTTGTACTTCTTTAAAATTAATAAATGTCTCTCCTAAAAAAGTCTCAAAACTTCTGGAATGCTCCTTATATATATATATATATATATATATATTACTAATGTTCACCTAATACCAAGGCCCTCAAGGAAGAGAGTTACTGTGTGTGGAGTTGTATTAGAATAAGAAAGGACAACATAACAGGAAAGTTAAACACCTACTTCTAGACTTGAAGAGATTAATATTTAATTAGCAAATAAAATTTCAGGGTACAGGCAGAATTGTTAGGAGTACAGAGTTGAAGGAACGAGGAATCCAATACCAAACAGGAAACAAGGGTGAACTTCTACATGTATTCAAAAACCAAGGAGGAGTGTGAACCGGACAGTAGGCAAATTTATCTACTCCTATTATTTGTATATGTAAAGTATATAATATAATAAGCTGGGAGTAAAAATAACACAGTACTCAATGCAAAAAGACAGAGCTAAGATACATATTAAAAGAAGTATATATTTATTTCTTATCACACAATGCTACTCAAAGTTTTATATAATAAACTTTCAATCACATAATTACTTAACTAATGAGTTGAGGTGAATGAATTTCAGAGCAGTGGCAAATAGTAAACATTGTTGATAGAAATAATGGACAGGAAGTTGTGGAGAGCTATAAATGTCCAAAGCTTGACAGGTGATCTCTCCTCTGACCAAAATGTAGCAGCTCGGTGAGGAAAAACTGGTTAGTCGCATTCAATGCCTTAAAGACCAAACTAGTGACCTTCTACCATCACCAATCGGACCCAGAACTTTCACCAACTGTGATGAACGGATGTTCCCTTAGAGAGGTCTTGTGTCTTGAGCACTAATTGGGACTTAAACTCAGCCCAGACCTTAAGTGGAATTTGTAGATATGTTTCGTCACTAAAGATGCTGGGAAAATGGCCGGTTCCTTGAACTACTCCAGCAAGTACCTCCTTCCTCCTCCTATCTTCTACTTTTACAAGAGCCAGACCTAACCGAAAATGGAGTACTGCAGCCATATATGGATGGGAGCTACCCAGTCTTCACTTTCCACTTAATAGAGTCCAAAAGTGTCTCTGCATCCCTGTAGCCAACAAATTATTTTCCACTTTGCAATCTTTTTCTCACAGACAAGACATTGCAAGCCTCTCACTGCTCTATCACTATTTCCATGGAGAATGTTCAGATGAACTTCACTCCTTAGTCATACCCTTCACAGCTAAGACACGCCATGTCATGCATATTGTAGCAAATTCCCTTCCTACCCCCCCACTACCTGGTGAGATGTAAGTTACACTCAAGCAGCTTCTACTCACAAACTGCTGTCTTGTAAAACAGACTCCCAAGAGGTTGCTACATTCTTAACCTTTTCAAGTCTAGGGTTAATCGTTATCTTTCTCACATGTCCACATAAGCCATAGCTCTTACTCTGTAACACTCTACCTAGAGTGACCCTCAGGCCTTGTACAGGGAGAACATTATTGTGATGGCCTATGATGTCTGAGTAAAATAATAATAGCCATATATTTTAACCTAGGAGATATTTGAGGTGCAGCTATTTCTTGGGAGAAAAAATATTGTTGACAAGAAAATAGCCTCCCAAATTCAAATGACCCAACATAGTTGGATATTAAAGAATAACAGACAATTTTATTGAATATAAAGTTATAGAAAAAGAGTCATTTTTATCCACCAGAAAAATATATAATGTCAATAAAGATGTGATATAAAGAAAATCTGGTCTCAGTTCCTTTTGAATTGGGCAAAACTTTGACAGAATTCTTCAAATTTGTGCAAGATAGCATCTTGTTTTGGAGGCGGCTTTTCACATTCTTTCTCATATAAGCGGTAGCTCAGTCTAAAATAAAAAATGAAACAGAAATAGATTAGACATATAATCACTTAATTATATCAGTAAAACTCAGTTATCAGAGAAACATGTTTTCCTATTCACAAGAATCTATCTTACACTTTCATAAATCTACAATTCATCCCAGCTTTGAATATTGCTGCCACATCTGGGCTGATGCTTCTGCTATGTATTTAGAGATTCTTGATGAAATCCAAAGTAGAATCCGCAATGTTATTGATTCTGACCTGGCATCTTGACTTCAGTCACTTTTCCACAAATGTAACATAGCCTTTTCCATAAATACTTTCATGGTAATTGTTCTAGACTTTATGAATTTAAATACAGTACAAGATTGGTAGTAAAGTCTCATCATATTACAGTTGAAATGGCAAGATATAACCATATATTCTATGCTAACAATTTCTCATCTTGCAGTTCTCGCTTGTGGAACTCTCTTCCAGCTTCTTGATTTTCATTCAACTTTGATCTTCAAAATTTTGAATGCAATGACAATTGTTATCTTCTGTCTTCTTAATTACTTTTCTTTTATCAACCTATTGCCTTGGGCTTCAGAATACACTGACTGTACCTCAGCAGAGGAGTAAGACCCTCCCCCAAATGAGGCCCCCTGTTTGTCATGTGGGGTGACCTGTCATGTCTGGAGACAGGATCTTGAGGTTGAGGGTTGCAGCATTCGGGGTTAGATACTCCTGATTCCCAACACACACACATATACACACACACACTTTGGACTTTATTTGGAATAGATGGTTGGTCGAAGGGGTTCAAATGAATCAGCTGGTCATGTCAAGCACTTGCACTTATATCTATATCAATTTATGGAATACTTTATAACAAAATACAATACCCTAAATATTCACTGGGATAAAATGTCATCTCTATCCAATTTATTGGCAGGTGATTCAAACAGAAAGACAATACAATGCAACCTTATGAACTCAGGATGAAATCCGTTGCTGAAGAGTTAGAAATCTCTCTCTCAAACTTACAAGAAACAAGTGCATCCAGTATTCCATCTTGGACAATCAAGCAACCCAAAATCTTGCTTGAATTAAATAAACTCCCTAAACAAAAGATACACCCACTCACAAGTTTCAGGGGATATTGGAAAACTAATTTTATACCCATCTATATAGATGGGTCAAAGTGTGAGGACAAAACAGGGTGTGCAGCAGTGAACCAAAATATTACCAAAAAAGTGCCTTCCAAAGGGAAGCTCTATTTTTATGGCAGAAGCTTATGCAATAAAGCTAGCTCTCAACATCATCAAACAGAGCAAACAAAAAACTTCTTAATATTTTTAGACTATGTCCTAATGGCTTTGAAGGAAAAAAAATCCAACATTATCAAGCTATTATGCAAAATGAGCACTATTTGCAAACATAAAAAGATCAAACTATGTTGGATTCCTAACCACAATAAAGCAAACCTAGCAGTCAAATCAGTTTTAGATAGGGATGTAGATTCAACGACCAAAATCCCATAAACTGACTTTAAGAAGGTTGTTAACAAGTATGTTCAAAAGGAATTGCAATGGCACTGGGCAAATGACTCAGAAAATAAGCTTTTCACAATTCAACCCAAACTCAGAGAATGGAAGTTGGCTTTCAGAAAATCTCGAAAGGAAGAAGTAGTATTGGCCCACTTATGCATTGATCACATGAGAATAACCCACTCATACTTGTTAAACAATGAAGATTAACCAGTGTGCCAAGCATGTGAAACTATTAAACATATATTATCCGAGTGTTCAGACCTTGCTCTCTCAAGATGAAAATGATATAATTTAAACAACATATATGAGATCTTCAAGAAAACAAAACTGGATGACTATATCATTTCTTAGAACAGTGGGCCTCTGCCAAAAAATATAAGCTAAATGGGAATGTCATTAAAATCAATTTCTCTGCAAACTGTATATCTACATCAATGAAACCAGACTCTTGATGAAAACCCTCTTTACAAAAAATGTCAATGAAACCTGATTTACAAATGGATATTTAAAAAGAATACATATTCTATACATATAAATCTATTGTAAAAATCTTGTCAGCATTAAATGACCCATTGAGGTGTTGATATATGCCACAAAACAAAACAAACTTATTTTATTATTCTCTCTCCTTAATAATATTTCCTTTTCTTAAAATAAATATATATATTATTTATATATTATATATGCATGGTACTTATTGGAAAGCGCTCAATATCTGTCTGACGATTGCAAAAGTGTGAAACCCAGGGTTACAAACATTAATACATATATATATATATATATATATATATATATATTTACTTGTTTAAATACATTACAGAAGCACCAGACTAGATGTGGTAGCAATATTTAATGCATGGATGAATGGTAGGCTTATAAATGTGTAAGATAGATTCTGACAAGAAAAATTGTCTAGCATGACAAGGTGAACAAACTTTCATTACTTATATAAATGAATCGTGGTGCATAGTCAACTTAAAGTAACACACTTTCTCTATAATTACTACTCCACTGCTCTATCCATTGGCAATCATGACAAAAAGTGTGATTTCTATTTCACTAGCAAAATGTCCTTAATTAATACTTATAGAAAAATGGATTCAATTCAAATGATTTTATATTCCAACTATTTAAGCAATAAAATGATAGAGTTTAGTCTAATCCCTCCATTTGCTTATTTATTATCAAGATTAGTGATTACAAATCTATCTAGATTAAATAGAAATTTGTCAATTTTATTACTGGATTATCTATGTTTCAGTTGGGAGGATTAATGGGATTAAGCGAAATAAAGTTTTAAATACTACATTGTCTTTTACATTTATAAAAGATGCAACACTCAAAAACAACTAAAGAAAACACAATGCATACACACAAACACAAACCAGTCAACGCAAAAATAAAAACTCTTCAAATGGCTTATCAAAGCTGAAAGCACTCAATTTATATTCAAATTCTCTCCGGAAAACAGAAAAATGATAAAAAAATGTTGAAAAGTTTAATTAATCAAATAAAAATCTTTCATCAGTTTTCAAACCAACCCTGCATGTGTGTGTGTGTGTATATATATATATATATATATATATATATATATATATATATATATATAATCCTTTCTGAAGGCATTGTATTTTTTGTTAAGCCAAGTACTCTTGATCGTCTCCATAATCATCCTCAGGGTGTGAATTGCAAAGACAAACTTAGTGTCAACTAATGTTTTGGAAAAGACCAACATTGTATATCAGTTTAAATGTCCTTTGGGAGATTCTATCTTTGACAAAGAAGTAAGTACATATGTTTGTTTGACGACCACAACATTATCAAGATGTCTTATACTCCATTTGTTGGATACAAGTTCTATCACACAACATTTAAATACACATTCCTGTCCACCTTTACAATACAGGAAAATACTAGCTGACAACACCAATATACTACACCACAAAAATAATAAACAAAAGCTTCAAATTCTCATGGCCCACTATATCAAAAGGAATCAACCAACACTGAACAAAATTTATTACAAGTGCAGTAGCAATGTTTTAAAGTGTATTTGACCAACATTTAAAGCCATTTTGCTTTTTTACCATCTCTGGTTAGCTCCCTTATATTGTAGATGCTTGTTTAGAAAAACAAAACAAAAAAAAAAAAACACCATATCTACAACGGTTAATTTTAAAATAATTATAACAAAACGCGTTCACAAAAATCACCATCATAACAATCACAGTTACATTAAGTTTGTCTTTGCAATTTACTCCTGAGGATGATCTCGGAGGAGATCGAAAGTACTTGGGTTAACAAAAACTACAGCATCAAGAAAATAGAGAACTAGAAAGGATTATTATAAAATAAAGATATAATATGTCAATATTATTCAATGAAACATGCTTGAATGAAGATATGCTACCTCTCTCTATATATGTGTACACACACACACACACACACACACACACACACATACATACATACATATATATATATATATATATATATATATATATATATATATGCACACATAAATTTGAATATAACTTTTTAATATATCTTTAAAAAAACAATATGAATAAAAACAACAGGAAAACTTATCTGAGCCCACACATTTCATCCCCCTGATGGACTTTATCGAGGCATATATTTGTAATACAATTTATACTGTTTTTTATAAATACTTGTTGCAAAATAAAATCCTTACATTTGCCTTGATAAAGTCCATCAGAGGGATGAAATGCATCGGCAAAGATAAGTTTTCCTTTTGTCAATATTCATTCAGATATCTAAAATTTCAGATATAACTAAAAATATGTCTGTAAAAAGACAAAATATGAATAAAGACAGAAGAAAAACTTAGCAGACGTGTCTTGTTCTCTGATAGACTTTATCAAGGCAAATATAATGATTTTGTTTGCAAGAAGTATTTATAAACAAAAGTAAAAATGTTGTTAGTTTTTCAAAATTTTTAACTTTAAGAATGTTAATAAATATTCATAAGGCTTACTGAAAAGTCTAGGTAATTTATGGATGATGCCAAGTGATGTAATATCTAATAAACAAAAGTGAGTAAATGTTGATTTTTTTATAATGTAATTATTATTTATATTGTTTTAGTTTGGGATTAATATTTGTATTATATGTTGAAAATAATAGGTGATGAATTTAATTGTTTTCTTTTAATTTTTTAATATTTTTATAGCCATTTATGTTTACTTGGGAAAAGAGTATTGCTTTCACGAAAGGAGATATTTGAAAAAATTTGGTGAACATAAGTAAAAAAAAGAAAAAACTGCATATGAGAAACTAAATTTATATTTTATTTGTGACAAGTTTATTAAAGGGACGTAACTTTTTATCATACTTAAAATACTTCTTTATATTTGAAAATATAGTCTCAAGATTGTTGATCTTGAAGATAAAACAGCTTTTTTTTTAATCATTTTACCCCAAGCAATGGAACAAAGACACTAGAATGCAGAGAGTTAATAAGTGTGAAAAGAATATAAGAAAAGTATCATTAAAGAGAGAGAACAATAAAAGTACAAAAATTAAGAAGACTAAAGATAAAAATTGACATAACATTTAAATTTTTGAATATCAAACTTGTGCCATTTCTCCATTTTGTTAGATTTATATCTATCATTCTGTTTTTTATCTATAATATATATCTATATATCTATATCTGTCAACTATCTATCAATTTTATTCTGTTCCTATCTATATATCTGTCTATCTTAGCATTTATTAATATATTTTTTTTATTTTTATTGATTTTTTTTACTCATCTCACCCCAAGTGAGGCCACACATGGGGTTACTGAGTGTGAAAGAATATAAAAAAAATCATTATTAAGGAGCAAAAAAAAAAAAAAAAGAATAGGAATTAAGAAAACAGAAGATAATGATTGACATTGCATGTCATTTTTTAAAGATCAAAGCAATAAACCAAAAGAGAGTTCCACAGGCGAGAAGTGCGAGAGAAGAAACTGTTGGCATAGAACTTGCAGTTACATGTAGCCATTTCATCTGTAAAATGATAAGACCTTGCCGCCAATCTAGAACTGCACTTAAATTCATTTTTATTGCAAACTTTCTTAATTCTGTTTGTTGGACAGTTCTGTTATTTCTTTTGCATTTGACCATGGCTGCTAACTCATCAAGATCTTTGATAATTCCCTTTGCTATGAAAAAAAACAATCTGCTTTGCTTTTTTCCTTGAGAGCATGTTGAACTCAAACACCCAGCTTACTCACTTTCCCTATCTTTTCTAAGTGTAAGCATCCGTTAGATTCTGTTGTGCTTAAGATCTTTGCTAAGGCAGAGGAAGGCAAGAGATGGGAGGTAACAAAATAATACAGCAACTTTAGGAACAAAATGCCTACATGACCGATTTCAACTGCCCATTGCTGATTGCTGGTTTTTCCCCTATTTTTATTGGCATGAGGCATCTTCCAAAGACCCAGATCTTGACCAGTTGCAGAGAGGCCCATATCTAGACATGCCAAGCGGTTCCACTGCTAACAGGGAAAACTCAAAAGTAACAAGTGTTGACAGACATATCCGCATGCAACTCAGTGCTTCTTTTGTGTCTGTACTGACACGTGTTTGCCACAGAAGCACCTCATAATAAACCATCTTAAAACAATACAACCAGCTGTAAAATTATGAACAAGATGATAACAATTTATATGAATACTATAAAAATACTGATATACTTACTGTCATTTACATTATTCGAACTATTATATTCATTTTCATTGCCATATTCACAACATTTCAGCCGTTGTATGCTCCAGCCTCCTTCAGGTGATTGGAATTTTGAACCAAACCGTTTATTTCATCCACTGGGGTAGATTGCTCTAGTTCCACGTGCCATGCCTCTGCTGGATGTCTAAGATATTTCTCTTTAACTCAACTCTCCAAGTTTTTTGGTTCACCACTGCTGTAGCCTGGTATCGAACTCACAACTCTTTGGGTCTAGTCACTGAATCTAACCAACACCTTTATCCACTTGAAGAAGGCCGTAGCATACAATGGCCAAAATGTTGTGAATATGGCAATGAAGATCAGGATAACAGTCTAAATAATGTAAATAATCATAATACCTCATCTCAGAGATATAGACAGGTATACTTACTGTCGGTTTTTCTGTTTCTTGTTCAACAGTTCATCAGTTAGTGATTTTATCTTGTCCGATTTCTGAAAATTACAAAACATTCTTATTTAAAATTCATCATTCATTTTCAAGTAGATATTATTGCTACAGAAGTTATTATCAAATCAAGAATCTTTATGTTTAGATAATGTTTAATTTCACTCCAGAAATAGACCCATCCCTTGATTTATTAGAATTTTGTTTTTATCATTTTGATGATGAGGTTAGTACATAAAAAATTACTTGAGTTCTTATTTTAACTCAATCAATTTTTTCAAAAATATGTTCGGATTCTGCCAGATGAAATGTAATCTAAATCATTGAAAAGTTAAACAGATTTTGTACCTGAATGTACTAACTATAGTCAGCACCAAAAAAATAAGGTTCCAGGGCTGCCAGGGTGTTAGTAAATAAAAGGTAAATAACATCTTTGAGACAATGAAAGACAATGATAATGATTAAAATTATGATTCAGCTATTTTTTTTTTTTTAAATTCACGTAAAATTGTATCAGTGTGCATTTGTTTTTAAAGTAATATTATTGTGCATTTGTTTTTAAAATAATACTATCAACAGGGTTCCCACAGATTTGTGTAAAAAAAATTCCAGGACTTTACAGACATGCCAAAAATTTGCATTGAAGTGTAAATTAAGAAATGTGATTTTAGTTAATTTTTTATTTAAGAAGGCTTTTATTAGATTTTATAAATAAAATATAATATGGACACTATTGTTTTAAGAAAAAAAAATTTTCAATCAATAAATTTTTGCAAGAATTGTTTCCATTTTTTTAATTTTTAATTATAATAATTTATAAAGTTTTTAAATCTTTTAAAATTCTGGATGATTTTGTCTAGGGCAAATGGCATTATTATTAGATAAAAATTGTATTTACCAATAATACAAGGTAAAACTAACTACAATTTAACAACCCCCTCTATTTTAAAAATCATTTTAAATTTTGCTTGCTTATCCTGTTTTTTGAAAATACAGGTGGGCATACATGATTCTATCAGTAAAGAATTAATTAGGTTTCTCTTCATTCTTATAAGAAAAATTGAAGATGCAGATAGTTGGAGTTATTTCTTAAATTGCAGGTTTTGCAAATCCTTACAAATTTTATAGTAAGTTTAATTTTATTTCATTCTTATTCCAATAAATAGTTTTTTTGTTTCCCAAGGCTTATTTTTCTTTAGTCAATTTCTATTTCTAATTATCTTTTTATTTTTACTTGTAGATTAAAACCCTTTCATTCAACATTTTAAGGTTTTTTGAGACCCCAGTAATACAGGGTGTAGCAGAAATATCTCCCACATTTCAAACTGTCACCTGTGTAGCACTAGCGAACTTACACAAGTGACAATGTGTTAAATAATTGCTTCCGACTATTATTTTTTAGTAGCAGTGTATTTTGGCTCAGATGGTAGACAAAACAGAGGAAGTTGTTTTTGATTGGTTAAAACTAGCATAGGAATGTTAGAGAAATAGAAAGTGACTCCAGGGAGTTAAGTTTTTACATGTCATACACAGTAGACATAGTTATTTCATGTCTTGGGGAACTTGCTCCCCAGTTAAGGTGACAGAGTAACCCCACTGGCTAGTTAAAAATGTACATGTCAGTGTATTTAATAAAATAGATAAGTTTAAAATCCTTTTTGTTGATATCTCTTTCATCTCTGGACTCCAAAAATATTTCAACACCTGGCTGGGACAAGTGAGAGAAGCTACAATGCTATGGAATCGTCCCCATCAATCAAGACCTCCCTAGAGACGAGGGGGTTATACAACAAATGGTGTCTTCATCATGTCATACCATTTTTTTTTTTTAGATACCAACATGACTTGGACTGGTATATACTGTGCATTTTCTGTTGAAACATTTTTTAAGAATGGTGAATCTGTAATTGCAACACACAGCTTTTCATGCTCGTTTTATGTCACACCAGAATAATGACATTCTGGATATAAAATCAATACTGCTATGGATTGAAAATTTCAAGGCCACAGGTTCAGCACTTAAAAAGAAAGCCACCTGGAAGACATCAAAAATCTGGGTGATGGAAAAACTTAGAAATTAAATTTAGTTATTAAATTTTGAAATTCCTTAATGACTTTTTTGAGCACCCTGTATTTTCCAGTGTTCTCTATAAGTCAGCTTTGAGTAAAAGTTCAGACATTTAACAAGCTTATATACAGTAAACAGTGTCATCTTTCATTCTGAATGAAATTTTGGGGGCTAACATTTTCTACTGATATGAAATGGAAAGATTATATAGTCAATTGTTATGTCTGTTGCCAGGCAAATTGGTTGACTGCATTGCGCTAGACAATTTTTCTTGCCAGAATCTATCTTACACATTTAGAAGTACCATTCATCCATGCATTGAATAATGTTGCTACATCTGGTCTGACGCTTCTGCTATTTAGAGATTCTTGATAAAATACAAAGACTCTGCAGTGTTATTGGTCCTGACCTGGCATCTTGGCTTCAGTCAGTTTCCTATCACCGTAACGCAGTTTCCCAGTGCCTTTTCTATAAATACTACCATGGTAATTGTTCTGATGAACTTTACTCTATGGTACCTCTTTGGGGAGAGTTCTTTTTCCGACGGTATACGACCGGTGTTTGACGCCAGACGTATTTGCGAGTTATTACGAACTGTTTTTGATTTCAACCCTTTGTTCACGTTAAGTTCATTTTTTATTTTATTTTACGTTCAGTTTATTGACTTTTTTTTGGCCAAAAGTTTGATTTGATTTGCCAAAAGTTTGATTTGATTTTTTCTTTCTTTTCCCTCCCCTCTATTTTTTTATATACTTTATCCCTTGTTGTTTTCTTTATTATTAATTTCCTTTTTTTTAATACGTATTTTTGAGTTTTAATTTTTTCCTTTTAATTTTCAGTAACTTCCCCACACCAAACTTTATTTTTTCATTGTTTATTTTGCCCCTCGTAAGACTTCGTTTTTTCTTTGTTTACATTTTTATTTCTACGTGTTTTCAGTGTTTCTTTCTCGTTGTAAATAACTTATTTATTCTGTATTCCTTTATTTTGTGTTTATTGTAATTTTTTGCATTTATTTTCCGCATTTATTTTATTATTCGTTAGTTCTTTTCATTTTAGTTTATGTGTTTTCGTTCGTGTTCGTGGGCTGACTAGTTTTTTCTAGTGGCAGCCATATTGTATTTGTGAACTCGTTTGGCATTTTTTGTTTCGTAATTTTTGTTGAAAAAAAAAGATACCTTTTGTTTATTTTCCGTTTTAAAATGTGATTTTCATTTTCGTACTCGTTTTTTTGTAATTTGTAATTGTTAGCTGTTTTTATTTTGAACGTATTTTTGTCGTTTTAGCGTACGTGTTTCTGTTACTTTTTGCGTCTTTAACTGTTCTGTCTTGTTAAAATTCTTTTTGTTATTGTGATTTATTTATCTTTCGTTTAATTTATACTTTTATTTGTTGCTTTTTTATGTGAAGGAAAAAAAAAAAAAAGTTTTGTTTTTTAAAAATGCCTCCCAGGAGAACGGTGAAAAAGAACCTGTTTGGTTCCAAAAAAAAGAAAAAAGGCCCTCCTGATAAAAATTTAGAAGAAAGCCCTGTAGTTGAAGAAAAATCTATGGAGTCCTCTAATTGTGATAATAATAATAAGAGTCCAGAAAAAAGTATGGTGGCCTCAAATGGCCAAAATAGTGGCATTGTTTCAAGTGTCCCAGACCAAATTATGGTGGCCGAAAGCGGCCAAAATGCTGATATTTCAAACAATCAACATGACAAGAATAAGGTGGCCGAAAGTAGCCAAGAAGCAACCAGTCAGACATCTCAGGACGGAAACATAGCGGCTGGAGAGGCGCCCTCATGCTGGAAGTCCCCACCGAAATGTAAAATCAACATTACGGAGTTCCTCAAGAGGGCCAAGAGCTACGCACATCTGGTGACAGCAGATGGGCTCTTGCCTAATCCCGAGGAGTTACGAAAGGTTGAAAAAAGAATTGTGTCAGTCTTTGTGGTCGACAAGCGTTCGCGCAAGATTTGTCGTTCCACTAAAGACACTGTTATTAAAGCATTATACTCTCTGGGCATTAAACCTCAGAGGATTGTGAAAGGGAAAGGATATTTTTATGGGGACGTACTGTTACCCACGCCTGCCGACTGTGAAGATGCTGCTACTCGCGATCTTATCACCAAAGACCTGATTCTGAGAACCGAGTATGAAGGCAGGCGTGGGACCGTTATCGGTATATGAGGTTCCTCCTCAGATTGTCGGCGAGCACTTGGCTGCTTATCTGGGCCAGTTTGGCCAAATACTCAGTGCTTCCTCTGATGATCTGACCGGGGGTGGAGCTTGAGATCATGATCGATCAGGATGCCTTCCGCACCATCCCCAACTGTCTGGATGTAAAGAGCCAGAAGATGCCGATAATCGTGACAGGTCGTAAACCGCATGCTGGAAGTGTGGAAAGACTGGTCACCTTTCCTCTTCCTGCACAGAGATGAAGGCCTCTGATGTTCTGGCCGCCCAACCAAATCCCCTTTGGCCGAGTCTGTTCCATCCGTCCCGCCTGTAGTGGGCATGCCAGCGACGGGACGGTGTGGAGAATCCCCGGTTGGGTCCAAACCTCAGCCCCCATTCCCCGAAGAGCCTTTGTCCGACGCTAGTGCGGTTAGGGAGAGGGGGAATGGCAGGTCGTTGGCAAGACTAAAGGGAAGATCCGGGCAGCGGAACCTCGTTCCACAACAAAAACAGGAAAAGGCACAGACAGCCCCACTCCCTCTACCAGTGCAAAGGGTGACTCTCCGGCCAGCTACTCGGATAAACTCCGACAAAAGTTAATTCAATATGAACCATCCTACGAGAAGAAGGAAAAACTTATAAAATTAAAGGAAGAACTTAAATCCAAACGACAGGACGCGGAGAAGAAATCTGGCACCTCTTTGTCGGCACCATCTTCCCCTGTCACTAAACATCATTCCATGGTCCCTCCCCCTATCACTAAACCTATTAGGGAAGTAGATTCATCAATGACCACACTAAAAAAGGACCTGCGA